CTACTACTACTACTACTACGTCGTTACTTACGTTACGTAGTAGTACTACGTTCTTCTTACTTACTTACTTACTTACTTACTTAGTAGTACGTAGATACTCTCTCTCTCTCTCTCTCTCTCTCTCTCTCTCTCTCTCTCTCTCTCTCTCTCTCTCGTTGTGTGTGTAAATGTCATGCCAAGAGGGGGGTGATAAATTCGTTGGTGGGGGCGAGGCAGATCTACCAAACAGGTGGCTGCTGAAATGGATGTTCTCAGTCCTTTGTGTAACATGTACATGGATATTTCACAATGTTATAAAGATGTTAATATCATGCGGATGGGAACTTGAAAAGGTAGCGGAGAGATTACATGTTTTGTTTGACAATAAAATTGTAAAGTTTATGAATCTCTCTCTCTCTCTCTCTCTCTCTCTCTCTCTCTCTGTATGGACACGTCCTGGCGTGCAGGTATGTGTCATTCACACGTTGCTCCCAAGCATGTGCTGTATATTCCATTTTTTGGAGCCTGCTCTGTATGTATGTTAGAGCTTTGATTTAAGAGATGGCAAGGTTGAACAGGGTAGGTAGCTGATTTATGGTACATTCCAGGCCAACACTGACCAATCAATAGATTGACAGCGTTGGCGCTCGAGTTGGGATGCAACGTAGATGACATGACCCAAGTGGTATGTGCACATAACCCGAACCAGATTTAAGTGCAGTGATCTGCTGAACTTCCCTCGATATAAATCTACATGGGGTATCAGTGAACAGAACTTGAACATGTAGAAACTTGGATGTGCGGTTGGAGGATACGCTTGAGCATGATGGAGCTTGGACTATACCGATTGAGATTGGCTTGAATTGCTTGATTAAGGGGAGGTAAGCTTGAACTTGTTTAGTTATTAAGGGGGTTAGCTTGGATTTAGCTTAACCTAGCTTGTTTACTTGAGCAGCCCCTATTAAAGAAGCCAAGTTAAGCCATAAATAAGTTCCTAGTTGAGCCAAATCAAGCCATAAACAAGGCAAACCATAGATAAGCCCATACTGTGTCAAATTTAGTTAAAAATAAGCCAGGTCATTCCATTAAGTATTTTTAGGCTAGAAGGGTAATTTCAATTTAATTGCATAACTGTCATACTAATTGTATTATTAATTGTACATATTATGTTAAACAGGTTCAAGTTTGAGCTGAGGTGCCAAGTTTTGCTTAGCATTCCCACTAACATCACCCCACAAACACCTTCAAAAAACTAACTCCCGAAATTACCCAAAAAAAAAAAAGGTTTGAGCCGAGCTCGCCTCTACTTGAGCTTCGGTTAGTTAATAGATGAGTTGTCAGGCTCGACTTTATTTAGCTCAAGCCTGGTCCGGCATTGTGATCTTCTCAAACTTCTCCTTCCCACCCTAGAGTTTGGATAGAGTCCTGTCTTTCTGGTCTTCCCAATCTAAAATATAGAAAAGTCATCAGATACCTGGTCTGGTCCTGGTCTTCCCAATCTAAAATATAGAAAAGTCATCAGATACCTGGTCTGGTCCTGGAATCAAACCAGAGCCAGGTCCAAGACTTAGTCAGGTCCAAGTCAAGTGGCCCTGACCCGACTCGCCGAGTCAAGACTCGGAAGCAGGTAGGGTAGACCCGACCTGTTTACCACCTCATGTCTTTTCAACAAGAGGCCCTAACATTCATATTGGGTCCGAATGACCCCAAAGCTCTGGGTTTTAACAATGATGAAGATTGTGAAACCCCCAAAGAAAATTGTGGATTGATTTTGAACCGTTGATCAATGACTTTGCAGTGTCGATCACCCTCATTTTTAGGGGAGGGACGTAGGTGCATGCTAGCAGTAGTACATGAGGGTCTCAAGGTTACTCCGGGGCAAAGGTAATCCAGAGTAGTCTGAAGAAGAGGTTGATGATGATGTGAAGGACCCCATCGACAGCAAGCTTGATGTGGTCGCAGACGATGAAGACGACACAGTTGATGCTGGAGACTGTGACTCTGCATACGCCTCCCAGTAGAGCCGTCCTCTGTATGCAGCCAAATCAGCATAGTATACTGGTGGAACCAGCGATACCGGCTTTGTGCACCGCGCAAATGTATAACATAGACTGTTCACCATCGATTGGATCCCATCAGAGCTATACCCATGCTCATCATAGAGCACCTGGTAGTGTGTGGCCCGGCTTGTCCCGAGCCCCCCAGAGTGGCTACAGAGGAAGAAATCAAACTCTCTTGGGTGCACTATCACTGTGTCTACAACTGTCCCAGCGGGGACATTCTTCGGGACGTCCTCTGCGGTGAACAGACGCGTCCGGTGACGCTTCTGAGCCACAACGACAGTAATTTGCGGGGCGTATCCATTTGCCATAGAACTGCACGCCCGCTTCAGGGCACCAAGCTCATCTTTTAGTACTTTGCCGAATTGCCCCTCACTCACCCCATCTCGGAATAGCACGATCCTGGCCGGCAAACCACCTCTGGCTCGCGAAGACACTTGGAGGAGCTCTCTGCACATGCCCTCCATCCCCTGCATACATTCCTCTCTGGACTTCTGAGCACGTATCTTTGCTGCATATCTATTTGCTGCCGGCCAGTTCACACTGGCGACCACTGCTGCAATTGAGGGGGCATCACTGTCCCCTGGTCCAGGATGGTTCACGTCAGCCCCCATGTATACCACTCCTCCGCTTGTTCCTCCTTGTCGGTCCACTGGGCGGCTCAGTGCAACAGTGCTCCCTCCAACCTTGGCATTGATCTTCAGCGCGAGGTTCGCAAGGAACTGTGGGTTAGCCCCCCAAGCATGGCGGCTCAGACAACATTGTGTTAGGAACCCTATTTTGGTCTCCGAGATTCGCTTGAGATGCTTGTATCCGGGATGGCGGCCCGGCATGACACATATCAGGATCTGTAGATGGCCGCCCACCTCTCCCAGCACACTAGCGAGATGCCTTTCCAGCTCTGGTGGATTGCCGAGGGCTTCGACATTCAGAGGGAGGACGCCTAGAGGCTGGGGGCGCATAGGGATGCCGAGCTCTCCGCATCGGCTTGAAAGGGATGCACCGAATGAGTGCAGGAGGTGTCGCATCCGGTGGAAGGCATTGGGCCTTCCAAATCCTGCAATGGCCCAACAGTCGATGCGCTTGCCCTCAAAGACATGGCTCAATTGGAGGTTCCACTGGCAGTCACCATCGCGGGGGGTGAGCCGTTGGCGGCGACCGGAGGGGCCGAGCTGGAGTTCCGGCGGTCGTAGGACCCGCCCGGGAAGCTCTGTCATCTTCCCCTCCACTGTGAGGCCAAACTCATGCACCACCTCCCCCCTGCTCCAGGCGGGATTCAAACATCCATCACCATCCTTATTTATGAAAACAAACCGAAGGGGAGAAATGCCACGCACAAACGTGCGTGGAAAAGCATACATTGTGGAGTAATTAGCAATGTCGTCGCTAGTACGGCCCCAATATACTATGAAAAGTAAAATTACTAAAATGCTCTTGAATCTTGTAGGGGTATTCTAGTCAGTTTACATTGTCGAATCATTTTTCATATTTCTTTTATGGGGGTGTGATGGTGAGAAGTACGGAAATCTCAAATTTGAGCTTAATATATTTATATATATATATAAAAACTCAATTTTTTAAAAAATTATAGACAATGAGACCATTTATCTTTATTACAAGAAGGTCACAATCATTCCTACTTATTAGATATCATATGGGATGGCTCGGGCTAGTCATGGAGTTCGAGAAATTATTTTTTTTAACTTTAAATCTTTTGAGAGACACTCTTATAACCACCCATTTTGAAATCCAAACAAGGAAAATGATTATGCCTTCTTTGTATAAAAAGTAAATTGTTTCTTTGTATTGGAAAAAGTTTATATCGAGCCGAGGTTCTAAACAATCAAATTAAAGCCTATATCAGAAATTTCACTAAAAGAGGTTGTTTTGATGCTCAAATTGATCATCTCGATATCAAGATACATGGACATCAGAAAAAAAAATGGATTTCAAGTTTTGGAAATGGTTTATTTTGTACCGTATTTTTGGATCATCAATTTTCGAAATTTTCAAGTTTTCATATATCAATCGATCTACACTATTTTTGAAGTTTTAAACTTTATAAATAAAGATAAAAATATATTTTAAGATTATCACAAAGATTTCCAATATTGAAAACACATTTCTCATATACTATTTGAAGATAGGCTCTAATTTGATTGTTTAGAGCCTAGGCTCTATACAAACCCCCCCTTTGTATATTTTCTCTTAAAGAGAACGCCATACTTTTTTTATTCTTTTTGAAAAAATAGACTTAAAAGAGTAAAATATGAAATAGATAGCGAAGTTGTGCATATTATGTTTCTAGTTTCTAAACAAAGATATATGAAGGGGGTGCACATCCACTTGATCTGGACCTAACCAAGTCCGAACTGAAGTTGGCCCGAGCAAAAGCCCACCTGTTTATAGGCCTAGATGCCATCAACATTAGGGGTAGCAACAGGTTGGGACCCGGACATGGACCCGAATAGTGTTCGGATCCAAGATTTAGACTTGGACCCAACCCGCTGGGTCGAAATTTTGGACCCATACCCAGATCGAGTCTATCCTTGGGTCCCAGGTCGGGTCCGGGACGGGGTCCATTGCCACCTCTCAACATTCATGAACTAAAAAAAGTCACTTTTGACATACCTGCAAGGCCCATCATCAGCACTCATCATCTCCCTGATCGTCCTGCACCTCTCAACTGGGCTTGCACAACACCTTTTTCTGAGCTCCCTCTGTGCCGACTCCCACTGAGACATGTCCTTGTTGAACCTTTGCCCCTCCACTATGGTGCACAACTCCATTGGAATGTAATTCAACCCACCCTTAGTACTACAGTCTAGACATGGCAACTCCTTGCACTTCAACCCTATCCCATGCGTCTCCTTGAAATACTCCACAACCCCAATAATCCTTTTCTTCTTCTCCCCTCTTCCTCTCTCTTCTTCCCCTGTCTTCTTATTCTCTCTCTTCTCTTCTTCTCCCTTCTCACTCTCTCTTCCACCATTCCTTTTCTTCTTCTTCTTCTTCTTCTTTTTCTTATCTCCTCCCTCTGCTCCTCTATCTTTTGCACTTTTCTCCTTCTGTCTCTCCTCTTCCATCTCAAAACTCATCTCCCTCGCGCTGCGACTCGTGAGCCCGATGATCCTGTTCTTCTGGTTCGTCTTCCTGTGTGTGACCTGCACCGCCAGCCCCCTCAGGCATTTCTCGACATCTGTTCTCTCGGTATCAGTCATGCACTCTCTCTCTCTAAAATCGATCCCCAGGTTCTCCTTCAGGAAATCGAGCACCGGAATGCTGTCGTAAAATGGGGTCACCGTGTAGTCGGTGTTGATAACCAGGCCTTGTTCAGTCACCTTGAGACTCTTTTGGTACCCCCTCAACGCCACTATTCCACACCCGATTCCCGAATCGGGCTCGTTTGCTGGACGGTAGAAGCTCCGCCCGACAGAGAACCGACACCGGTTGGGGTGCTCATCCAGCGCCACGTCCAGAGCCTGCAACACATCCGACGGCACTCCAATGGGGGAGCCGCGAAAATACTCTGCGAGACGATTCACTTGCAGAGATTTTACCAATTTTACAGTGACGATATATTGCCGGAGATTCTCGTCGGGGTTTTTGACTGTGTACTTACCTTCAGGTAGTGGAGCGATCGAATACAGGTTCTTCCTCCCATCGTAAGCACTGATTTTAGTAAAAAACTGTCCGGAAAAGAGCTCTGCGTGGACTTGACGGGCGACGTATTTCGGAAGATAGATTTCCAGCGAAGGAGACTCCGGTAGCCTTATGTCGACGTCGTAATGGAGGATCTCGAGATGGGGATTGAAGGATACCGGGGAATAATTTGCCAGGAGGCGGACGCTCCTGACTCCGGCCGTGCCAACCTGGAGTGGTCGGTGAATGGGGACCGGACAAGCCTCTTCCGGCGGCCTGCGGGAATTCGATTGGTATGTGGAGACATTGAAGGGGATTGAAAGCTGGGATCGTCGATTTTGGTCATGATCTCTGATATTTGGAGAGATGGTTTCTTGTCTGAGGTCGCCTGAATTTTGCTGAGATACGTTAGAAGCTGGCCTGAAAGTTCCGAATTGGATGAATTGTGTTTCATGGTGCTCTTTGTCATTCCTTCTCTTGGTGTTCGTTGCTCTTCCCCTTAGAGGGGCATCCATTATAGTTTTTAGAGAGAGAAAGAAAGAGAGAGAGAGAGTACTTCTAGGAACAACACTGCATTGTATAAATCTACATCACTACCATTACAAAAAAAAAAAAAAAATCTACATCACATCCCAGGATTGGAAGAACCATAGGGAAACATGACCATAAATTATACGCTGAACTACTCAAATTCTAATTTCAATTGCAATTGGAGTCTCAAGAACCTTTGCTCCTGCTAGAGCATACTATACATGTGCATCACATCCGTAGGAAAAGACATGCTCAACAAGGTTTTCTTTGAAATAGGAAAAAGTTTATATAAGATGTCGACCTTGCGTTCTACAAGTAAGGTGCACCTTAGACACCCATGGGGAGGAAATGTTATTTCGACCGTCTTGACCTTGATATGTATGGATATAAAAGAAAAAATAAATTTCAAACATTTTAAAAATAGTACATCTTGTAAGAGGCATTATCTATATGGTCCATTATCAAGATTTTAGAGTATTCATAGTTTTGTTAGATCTACGTTATTTGTAGAGCTTTCAATTTTATTATAGGGTTGAAAAATAGATTTTTAAACCATTACAAGAGTTTATGCATTGAAAATACATCTTTCAACAAAATTTTGATGTGCACCTTACCATGATCGTCTAGGTTTGACACCTTATACAAACCTCACCCTCAAAAAAATGGGTTCCACTTTCAACAGGACAGTTTTCAATATAAATAAAAAGTTTTCGATATAACATAAGAGATCGAATTATGAGTTCTTAAACACTTAGATCTTACTGCATAAAATTGAGAATCTTAAAGTGTTATTGATCTAGGCACAAAGTGTATGATCTCTCTTTGGAAACTAGTCTCTAGATCGAAAAGGTATGTCCCCGAATTTAAAGTCTTAAAATTGCATTTAAACAAAGTCTTATTCGAAGGAGTAAATGAACAACATACTCCCCTGAACCCAAATTAATTGAAAAAAAAAAAAAAAGCGATGATGCTCCCCGGAGCATATAATCTCTTGGCTACCGATAAAAAGACAACGAAATTGTAGTCTTCCTCTTCCTACAACCAAGTTTACCTCGGCCTCACCCTCACCCTCACCCACCCTTGAATAATTATAAAAAGAGAGGACCAAAAAAGACAAAACTAAATTATAAAACATCTGAGTTTAAATTATGTTGTCCTCTCTCTTTCTCATAAAATTATGTAGCCTCTCTCTCTCCTGATTGATGCATTTTTGTATTAGATAGGTCTATTCATGGAGGAAAAAAGAAAGAGATTTAATATGGTATGGAAGCGATTAAAACTAAAACAGAAAGGAAATGTCTTATTTTTATTTGACGATGGAAGCCATGAAATGGAGCTTGAAGAAAGGGGAAGGCAGTCGTTGGGTTAAAAGAAGGGACGGAGAAAGAGAGAGAATACGCAAAACCCATTTCCAAAAGGCTGTTTTGTCTCCACTTTTGTCCTTTCACTTTTTGTCTCTTCCATATAAAAATTAATTTCCACATCTTGACAATAACCATTTTCCAAAAGAGAGAGAGAGTCCTAAGGAAGAGGGAGGAGTTTATTGGGCTATATTTTGAGAAGTATTTTTTGGGGAATTGGTAAAAGAACTGGGTTAAAATAATAATTTAGATAGAGATTAGCGGCCTACAAATTTTTTGTAGACTTGAGGGTGACATAGGATAAAAGTCTTGCAAGTAGCGCCTCTCTTTTATTTTTACTTTACCCAATCAAAATAAAAATAAAAATAAAAAAAAACCTAAACTAATCTCATTTATTTTTACCTTACCCATGCCTCTCTCTCCTCTATCCCACCAAAATAGGGCCTTACCCATGCCTCTCGCTTTTCTATCCCACCAAAATAGGGGCTCCGGTACCGTCTAAATGCGGTCTGGCAGTAGCGTTATGGCACTGTATAAAGTTTGGTTGAGAGTAAGGCTCCGACACTATGTAAAGTGCAGTCCGACAGTAGGGCTGTGGCACTGTATAAAGTTCGGTCGAGCAGTAACGCTCTGACACTATGTACAGCGCGGTCCGACAGTAGGGTTCTGGCACTGTGTAAAGTGCTGGTGCAACAATTGAAAATGGTGGTCCGACAGTTGCAAAGGGCGCTCTCGCAGTTGCAAAGAGCGGTTCGGCAGTTGCAAAGGGTTGTCCGGTGCACTCCCCTAATGGGATGGTGTGCTTCGACAATGTGCTAGGGTCTAAAACTCAATGTCAAATCTATCCAAAATTATTTTTGTGTACGGGAAGTGTATTTCCGTTTAAAAAATAAATTTTTCCCTCGGGGAGTATTTGCATAGAAAGTTTATTTTGAGGAAAAAAGTGAGAGAAATTATTAGGTTGGGTAAATTACATAAAAAGTGTGGTCTTGGGGTTTTTTTGTAATTTTCCCAAAAATAAAATTGCTTTGTTGCTCAATCATCGTCATCATTATTACCATCAAAGCTTTTTCAAAACTGTTTGGGATCATCTATACGAATCCTTATCCTCCATTTTGCTCTATTGAGAGTCATACCCTTAGTGAGGCCATAAGTTCCTATATCTTTTCTCACAATTTCTAATCATTTCATTTTGGGCCTACCCCATGCACTCGATCCAACTCGTACCCCTAACACTGTATTGACTTTACCCTGTACATGACCAACTCATCTAAGTCTATTTTTTCTCATTTTATCGCCTGCTAGAGCCATACATAAGTTCTACCGAATGCATTCAATTCGAATTCTATCCCTTCTTGTCTTGCCACTTCTCCATCTCAACATCCTCATCTCAGCTATACTCATCTTATAGGTATGTTGTTTCTTGACCGTCCAGCATTTTACCCCATAAAGCAAAACGAGTCTAACAGTTGTCAAAAAAACCTTCCCATTCAGCTTCATTAGTATGCGACGGTCATGTAAAACTTTGACTGCACATCTCTACTTTGCCTACCCAACTCTAAATCTATGTGCGACATCTTTATCAATCTCTCCGTTTTCAGGATTCTTGATTCCAATTATTAAAAGTGCATTTTTTTTTGTATTTTTTGGCCGTTAATCTTTACTACTTCATCGTCTGTACTCTTATTATTACTAAACTTGCATTCCATATATTATACCTTAGTATAGTTTGATAGGGCTGCAAACCTATTAAAATAATACAGTCTTACCTCATAACTCATTGAAAATTATAATTTAAGCATTAAAAAACCTTTATATCAATCATCTTGGCTTGAATTGTGAAAAAAAGGGGGAGATTTCAAGCTCTAAAAATTGTGTATATTATAATAAATTGTGTATATTTTACAAGGAGGTCCAACTCTCCATTTATTTATTTTTCAAATTTGTCCCCCAATATGATGATTGCAATATTGGATTGCGTCTTTTAATTTTATTTTTTTATTTTTTGGTCTATAAGGTTGTCCATTGGCTTATAAAATATAATATGAGTTAGTCCAATATTGGAATATACAACCCTATAGTGAACTGTCCAATGTTTAAAACATCAGACAACATGGCTTGTGAAAGTTTTAAGTAGGCTTAGTGGTTTGATGTTCCAGACATCCGTTAATTGGACAAGCAGTCTGATGTTATAGAAATTAGATCACTTGCGGTTCAGTGTCTCACATATTAGAGTGCTCAAAACTTAAAAAAATTTCAAGGTCTGGAGCAATCCAATATTGGTGATATTGGACAATGCTAAAGTGAAGTTTAGGATAGTCTGATATTCAGGCATCGCACTAACCTACCTCCAACCCATTGGATAGTTGGACAAACCATAAAAATAAAAAATTATTAAATTAAAAAGTAGACAAATGAAAATCAGATCAAGAGCCAAATTGACCAAAAAAAATAAAAATAGAAAGAAAGAAGAGAAAGACAAGAAGAAAATGAAGATGAAGAGAGTAGAACCTCCGCATAAAATATAGAAAAAATTGGATAAAATTAAAATTCATGAGTTTGGATACCCTTTCCTTACATATAGAACATCACAAAGAAAAGTTATTCAAAAGAAAACATTCTCCATATCCACCACCAAACAAGCATAAAAAAGTCATAAAACTTAAGTACAAGAAGACTTGAAGACAAACACACGTTGAAGCAAGAGGCACAATCCGTAGTGACCTAGTATCCTCATTTGGAGGATGACATATTTAGGTTAAGGACCACAAAAGCACAAGATCCATGGATCCAATCCCAGCTGAGGTACCCAAACAAAAGAAAATGCTAAGATTCTTCTCTTATTTCTTATGAAGCCCATGTGAGATAGCCAAAAAGAGCACAATCTCTTGCATGAAACCCAAGTCTCTCACACATTACCTCCACATTTTGTTGTTGAAAGCTCCCAAGAACTCCTGCAGGACCATAGGAATTATCTTCTATTCCTTGCACCAGCAAGCACTTGACAGAATAAGTTCCATTAGAGGGAGCCATGGCATAGAAGTAGTTCTCCTCAGGCAAGTTTATGGTCACATTGTTCAGAAAGCGAAACGAAAGTGAAGGAAGGTTATCTATCACTGTTGTACGAACTTGGTAGCATAGGTCGAATCCCGTCCTCCTCTCGTGCTCCACCGATCTCGGGTGCATTATCTTAGACCCCTTAACCGAAAGGAACTTTGCGAACAAGGCTTGAGGAAGGTGCACGTACGTCGTGCCGGAATCTACGAGCATGCCCCTGTTTCCTTGTGAGTTGATCTCTCTAAGGATTTGGGGCACCTCCAATGTCTCCCCTCCTATGAAAATGGCCTCTAGGCCTATGTAGTAGAAGTTTGGGTACATGGGACACTTCAACATGGGTGTGAATTGCAGCTCTTCTCTGGAGGCAATGGCTGAGTTCTCTATGATCAAAGGGCTAGAGATGTTGGGCTTATTTGAAAACTTGAAGCTCATAAAACAATTGGAGAAGCCTTTTTGTAGGAACCCTAACTGTGAGGGTAGTGAGAGTGCACCTTTACCAAAACCTACAATCCCAATAGGCTTCATATAAGTTGAACCAACACAACGAAAACAAAAGTCTGGGAAATCCTTTGTTACACTTTGGTCACTGCCAAGGACCCTAAGGGTGTCCCTTGTTAGGGTTCCCAATACAATGCCATCACCATAAGTGTAAGTGAAGGGAGGACAAGGCCTAAAGCACATGCCTCTCAACATGGCACCAAG